CCACTAAATGAAATATTTTGCAAATAGATATATATATATATATATGGTGAGCCAGTCAAAGCTGCATTTTTGAAATTACTGTATAAACGGATGGATATTTCAAAATTTTATTGTTACTATCTTAATCTACATTAAAAAGCATTTAAGAAACAACATTCACTGTTTAAAAATAACGCCAGTAAGATGGTGCCGACGCGCCGTTCTCCGAGGGCTTCCTTCCACAGCAACTCTCACGCCGCCAATATTCGCTGGAGTTCACACTGATCTTGCACTGCCAGCCCTTCTGCTTCTCGTTTCACCAATTGCTTCAAAGTTTTTCACCCACAATTTGATTGAATTAACAGACGGCACTGGCCTATTTCGATTAATCTGAAAATTCGTTTGGAAACGACGCTGAGCGGCTGCATAACTACCACTTTGGAAAAACGCTTTCACAGCGAACGAACGTTGTTGTTTAGACCACTGCTCCATGGCGACTGAAATGCTTAGTTGTGGGGGACACAATGGTAACCTCGGTAACTCGCTTCCCCCTCTTTCACGGCTCTCACTCCCTTTTCAAAATGCAGGTTTGACTGGATCATCCTGTATATATCAGGTGTCACCAATAACTCAGGTAGTTTTCTATCTATGGACAAAATTACAGTTGTAATAACTAGACTGCTAGGTGGTCTTAAGTAATAATTTAAATAATGTTGAATAGTTAGTGCGACTTTAATAAGAAAAATATATATTGTATATTTATAGAAATATAAATTTAATAACGAATATATAGATTTATTTTTTGATATTTTCTAAAATGGCTGTAGTAATTTTAAACATAAACGTTGATATGTTGCCGCATACTGTTGGTTACGGAGCTCGCTTTTTGCGTAATAGACTTTACCGCAAAATTGATAATATTGCGGGCATGGCTTGAAAATTATTGAAACTGAAATCAAAGTGCTTACTAAAGAGAAAAGACTCTGGCAACAGCAAAAAAGAGAAAATATCTGGTTAAAGCTTTGTTTAAAACTAGTTTACTTGTTAGAATTGGAAAACGGGTTGAAGAATTAGAATATTCAAATTAACCTCAGTTGTGCTATATGTTAAGCTTCATTCCCTTTAAACTTCATATATGGTCAGGGCTGAAAGCCTATGTATAGCGAGACGGAAAAGAGCAAAAACTGGTATGAAAGGCATTTCGTTGTAGCATTTTTTTCAAGAAACATTAAATTTTTGTAACTACCGTAATTTTTTTACAATTTTAGCATATATAAAAAACAGCTTCTTTCTTTAAAAAAAAGAAGATATACATACCTGTCAACTTTTAATCCCTTCCATTATGATTTTTCCCAGTGGTATTAAAATGGAATAAAAATTGCAATTTTAAGCAAAAAAATACGTTATATTTGAAAGAGCTTAATCTGCCTACCATGACAGTAACACATATTAATATATATGCTTAATTTTTTTAAGAATAGTGGTGATCAGAATCATTTAAAAATTTAGTTTATAAAAGAAAAAGATAGTATATATTTATTACCACTATAAATATAAAAATAAAATTTTACGCCAAATGCGTAAAAGTTGGCAGGTATGGATATATCTGAATAATTGAAAAAGAGAATAGTTTACCTCCTCCCGAAAGCATGTTAAAACTGAAATCATCTCTTTGAAACTAAACCGTGGTAACTCAAAAAAGCAAAGTTTTCAGGAGAGCGATTTCAAACTTTCCGCGCTAATGCTAATCGCGGCAATGCAATGACGATTTATATGCTCTCTAAATTAACTTTATGAAACTATAAGGATAACAGGTTGTTTTTCTAAGAGGGTGACTTTTCTTACACAAAATGACCCAAAAATCTCATTTTTTGAGTTACAACGGTTTAGTTTCAAAGCGACGAAATGGGTTTACTACTAGCTTTTCCTATTTTCCGTCTCGCTTTCACCCATGTATATAGTACAAGATTGTTTTGAAAGTCGACCAAGCTGGTCGCCAAAGGTGATTGCTAGTATATTAAGGTTTAATGTATAAACTTTAATATATATCATTGGTTATATATTAAGGTTAAATATATTAATTAAATATATTAAGGTTTAATATATTAAAGTAATATGTTAAACCTTACCTTAATATGATAAGGTATTAAGGCCAATTTTTGAGGATTTGTGTAACAAGATCGTAAAAGATCGGCGTGTGATGCAAAATTGCTCAGCTGCGTCAGGTGAAGTCGTTTTTTTAACGCAGTAATGAAGCGCTGCCAGCTTTGTAAACTTTTTGCAAAATCTTATTCTAGTGGTACCTAAGTTTAAGTTTTAATATATTATTTTTGATTCGTTTGAACTTATCTTCTACACCACTACATATAAATGATTTAAAAGTTCATATCCAACGCCACTACGTTCCGGCATTTTCTCCCACTTTTACAGTTCCCAATCTATCTTGATCTACAATATCGCATTTACTAAGCCAGACACAGAGTATAAACGTGCGTCGACCAATGCTTCTGCTACTTCTCTTATATCTCTTGCTAACGACAATACTCCAGGCGCCTACGGGCATAACATCACGATGAAGGAGTGGAGTGTCAGCTTCATGGTCAGGTGTCCGTATACAACCTCAGTCTAAGTCCAGCATTTTCGTGGTGAGTCTTTTAAAATATTGGTAAATTACCAAAAACTCTAAAAGCTTTGGTTTTCAAGTGTCTACCACTAAATGAAATATTTTGCAAATAGAACGCGCAGTAGTTGGCAGGTCTGGTATAATATTTAACCTCCTCCTGACGGGATTCTCAGGGTGTCGATAATCAGGGTAAAAAAAGATAAAACTGGTAGCCAAAGTATTTTTATACCAGTTCATTTGTGGGCAGGGAAATCATACTTTGCTTTCTTTAATTCACCACTACTTAGTTCAAATTAAAAATTGTATAGTTACACTTTTAACACACAGAGCTTGGATGTGTTCGATTTAGAGTGAAAGCAAAAGTAAGTCTGTTAGATTAGCTATGCCCAAAACTTAAGCTACCACTTTTATTTTTTACTTTCGTGATTCTGATTCCGTACGAATAAATTTATGACTCACCCCTCCAGAAAAGGTTAATGAAACTACTTACATTAAAGCAGGAGGATACATTCTCAAAGTTTCTGACACAACGGCGTTCATAATCTTCATTTTTCGAATAGCATCATTTCCAAATTTTCTCTAAAATGTTAATAACAGCGCATTCATACATTCTTATGAATAACAAATGGCTAAATGGGGATTAACAATTCTTAACCCTTTCGCTCCGACTGTCACAAATACGTGACAGCATAAAACCGTATCAATCAGGGTAAAAATATAAAACTGGTAACCAAAGTATTTCTTTAACAGTTTATTTGTAGGCGGAGTTATAATTGTTTGATTTATTTAATTCACCAATACTTTGTTCAAAATAAAACTAGTTATACTTTGAATTATCATTGATTATATATATGATTAAACTAACAATAATTAAAGTAAAAGTAAAGTAAGTCTGTCAAATTAGCAACGGCTACATTTAAGTTACCGTTTTTTATTTAATTACAACTAGATTCTCATCTTGTACGAATGCTTTTCAGAATCACTCGTCCCCAAGGGGTTAAATAACATATAAGTATCTAAGAAATTGAATTATAGGTCACTATTTTAGCTCATTGAAGTTTTTACTCATAAAGGTATTGAGATGTTGATGTTTTTCTGAATTTGAATTATCAGCAAATAATAGAGTTTATTAACTAAATTCATAACCATCTATGTTCAACAGAAATGTTAGGAATTTTGTAAATCTGTACGCAATTTTCACAAAAAGCATAAAAAAGTGTTAAATTTTATAAATAAGTAAACAATATTACAAAAAAAAGTTTTTAATCCATTAAAAATGTATTAAATCACGCAAGAATAAAATAAAATCATTTTCCCCACCACAACAGAATGAGATTTTAAAAGTTTATATTGAGTTCTCACGGTAGACTTTTTTTAGGCTCCCCATCATGCCGATCATCATCCAAGACATCCACAGCACTCCTGTGGTTATCTTTTTACCAACATAATTACAGGCGCCCACGGGCACTACCTCAGATGAAAAAGTCAATTGTCCGCTTCGCGGACAGGCACTTTGTATTCTACTCTAGTTCAAGTTCAAGTACTTTTTTTAGGGTTCCCACATTCCTTGAAAAATTTTAGCAGTGGTATTAACTACCAAATCGTCATTAAGTGGTTTAGAAGCTGGAATTTTCTTGCATATATACTTTCTTTGGAAAACTATTTCTAGTGGTTACACTGAAATAAAATTTTTGACATTTGATTAATTACTGTTATCATTTATTTTAATTTACAAGGCCAGTGTTAACCCTTTCGCTCCGACTGTCACAAATACTTGCCAGCATAAAACTGTATCAACCAGGGTAAAAAGATAAAACTGGTAATCAAAGTAATTCTTTAGCAGTTTATTTATGGGCGAAGTTATAATTGTTTGATTTATTTAATTCACCGTTATCTTTGTTCAAAATAAAACTATTTAGTTATGCTTTGAATTAACATTGATTATATATATGATTAAACTAACAATAATTAAAGTAAAAGCAAAGTAAGTCTGCCAAATTAGCAACGAATACATTTAAGTTACCGTTTTTCATTTAATTCTGATTTTATGCTTTTCTGAATCCCTCATCCCCAAGGGTTATAAAAAGGGAAGCGAAATTTCTCTATCTACCACAACAAAATAATAATTATAATTTATATAATGTTTAATCTTTTGAAAAGAAACCTGTGTGATGAAATTTTAAAA